CTCCTTCCGTCACTGACTGGAGTCTGTCCTTTCCCCAGGCAAGCACTACGCGGCTTTTAGCTCTGTTTTTTTTTTAAGGAGAAAAAAAACCAAAACCTGTGGGAGTTGCGGGGGCTGGAGCAGGACCCTCTCTCGCAGCTGCAGCAGGTTGTGTGGGTGGCCTCACCCTCACCTCACCAGCTGCCGTGTAGCTCCTCAGACCACCACCCATCTCCTCTCTGCATCCCTTTTCAGCAGAGGCCTGGCCTCAACCATAGCGGAGTTGATCTGAGATTTCTTTCTTTAAAAGTTGCTCCTTCCTCACATCGTGGTGTGAGTTTTCTCTTTGGAAAAGCAACAGGAGCTTGTCTCTTTTGAAGGTGTTGGACACGCATGCTCCATCGCAAAGCTGTTCATCTCCAGGTACCTCCCACAAGCCTGGTGCTGCTTCATTTTCCCCACCCGCTGGACCTACCAAGAGAAGATAATTTCTGCATGCCTTTTGCTTTGGTATTCATGATGATTCTGTAAATTACACGCACAGGTTTTTTTTCTTTGCTGGGCTGTACCAAGAAATGATTGTGTGAGGATGGAAAAAGCCATATCCATTCCCCGAATGGCTGCTGCAGACTGGGATTTGCCATAGGTGTTTCTTTGATGGGATTATGGGGACATAGAGGGGATGGGTCTTCGCTGGTGCTTTCACCTGCGTTCAGGTCCCCCTTCATCTGCTTTTAGCTGCAGCCACAGTAGTGGTATCTGTATAGCACCTTCCCACCTCCTACCCAGCCTGCTGTCTTTTATGCCTCACAACGTGGCTCTTACCCAGACCTTTCTTACAGCTTTTTTAGCACAATTGTTTGAAAACCCACTGAAATAACTTTTTCTCCTTTATTTTGATAGGGACTTCTGCTAGCAATAATTTTTCCACACATTCAAGATAATTTTTTTTTTCTTCTTTTTTTCCCCCAAATCTCATCCCACTCTTCCTGACTTCTGACTCCATTGACATGTCACTAACAGTAATTCCTTTGTATTTCCAGCCTTCCCTGTTTTAAAGCCTCAGAGCTTCTGAGTGATGCTCCTAGAAAATTCAAGGAGTTTGGCTTGGCCTGTGTGGGCAGGTGACAGGTATTTCTTACACATTTATTGGATGGGAAGAGAGTTAAAAGACAATGCTGTTAGTATGTTCTTGCTTTCTAACTATATCCAGCTATGAGGGAAATAAGACAGGAATGGGAAGGTGTTAAGCAGAGTCTTAGTAGCGATGGATGTGTCTCAAAGGGATTTAGGAAGCAGCCAGACCAAGGCAGGAAGCCCCCTTTGGCAGCATGGTCCACGGTCCCTTCAAATTCTCCATTTTGAGGCTCACCTCAGAAGGCAAAAGGGATCCATCAGACTTGAACGGGAAGAAGCTGTGCTTGCCCCTGCCAGCTGCAGCTCTGCTCTCTTTCCGCCTCCGCTTACTGTAAATAGTACAACTTACAAAAGTGACAGCTTAAAGGGTAAACTAACAGACACAGGGTCCAGCTTTTATGTATAGAGCATTGACCACACTTTGGCACTTTTTAAAAATAGGCTGTTCTTCACAAATAGCAGAAGTGAATCTAAGTTCAGATTCCTTCACAGTCCCCCCTGAGATCCTGAATCTCCAGATACGCACATGCAAACACACACTCTGTGTTCAGTTCTGCTGTGTGGAAAACGTACCTCGAAATCATGTTGTCTCTTGTGAGCCCAGAGCACATTTCTGCTTGGGGACTACCGCTGGGTCACGGAATCAAGGGGAACAGACACAGGGCTGTTCAGGGAAGAGCCCCCTGTAACTACAGCAATACAGGGCCATTTTGTTTTAGCAGCATGAAACTGTAACCCTTTCCAGGGCTTACTTTTATTGACACAATAGGCCAAATTCTGAGTGAAATAAAAAACAGTGACAGGAGGATTCAGTTGAGTAGAAGTTGCCTGCTGATGGAAGGCGTCTTAACATATGCACTAGAGGGGATGGAATTATCTTAAAGCACTAATCAGCATAAATAAAAAAGCATTCAAGTTACTCCTCTGTTAAAATGAGTAAAGTCAATGGAAGTTTCCTGCTCCACCACCTTCCTTTCTGAGCTATATCAGTATGTAGCATTTAGAAACCATTTCACAAAGTTAAACATTTATTAGCAACAAGAACTATTACAAAAAGATACCCATAGTCTAAATATATACATGAGGTTTAAACATAGCATTTTCATGTACCTTTAGCTATAAAAATACATTAGATTAACTGTATCCTAATTTATAAATATAGTTCTTTATTTTTTAAAAAAAAGGATGTATTTAGTATGAAAGCCTTACTGTGCAATGAAAGAATATACACCCTCTAAAGGGTTATTTTAAAGTTAGTGTCTAGTGTTATATAACTTAGAGAATTCAGTGTATAGAGTCAAACCCTGATTTATACAATAAGAGATACACTGACTTTTAAAAAACTTGATAAGGGAATAAAAAGAGGTGAAATATATATCATACATATAAAGCCAGAATACTAGGATTTTAAGAATTTCAGATGATTTCAGTTTCAGCCACTGTTTATCAAAAATTAATACAGAGATACATCAAGATAACCAGCCTTTTACTGTTTGCCTTACCTCCCTACTGTCTGACTGCAGCCTGAGAAAACTGTCAAGTAGGCAAAAGTAAAATGTTTGTCTGAGAAGATGTTTGCACTCTTAAGTGTTTTACAAAAATAGAAACGTATATACAAATGTTCCCATTTGGCCTTTCATGGGGAAGGGAAGACATTATCTTCACTGGATGGGGAGATTTACCTGTCTCGCATATCCGTGGGAGGACAGGCTCCTAGTTACACACAACTGTTGGAGGTATGGTTCTTTTAAGAAGTTAAGCAGTGTTGAAGTGCAATTTCAACGGTCACTAACTAATAAGGAAGTTTAGGCTCATGCAAACTTTTCCTTTACGTACTGCCACCCACCTTCCTTCCCCCTCCAAAAAAAAGGTCAAGTCATGCAATAGAACTTGTTACTGACTGGGCATATCTCTGAGCAAACAAAGGTACTGGTTAAATCCTTGCTTGTGTCAGCGAATAGAGGTTAGACCTGCATTGCTGCTTTGAGCCCTGGCATCTGGAAAACTCGAGGCAGCAATCTTTACCAGCGCTCCATGGAGATCTGTGGATATGCCCTAAGGAAACTCTTATCAGCTTGCTGTCAGAGGATAGTCCCCTCGAGATCAGATAAACCTCCTAACAAGCTGACACCACTCACTCCTGCATACTTAGAGCTCCTGCGGACCTGGAACCAGTGGTTCTCTATTACAGAAGTGGGAGGAGGAGGAGGGAAAGTAGTGAACCCAGGAACGGAAGACAACATGTGGCTTATCATCAATCTCGTAGTAATGTCTGGGGATGCAAAGAAGTTACTCCAGGAGGTACTAAGGCATGAACTTGGCGTGACAGCCACTCCGTGGATGTTATTGATGTACAGGCGTGCTTATACAACTGTAAGCAAGAGACAACTCCAGGCAGTTTATTCCTCAGTGGAGGATCAGCTACTCTGTGCTTGCCACGAGATGACAGCACTCATGAGGACAACTGCTGCAAAGCTGCTGACACATTTAAGTCCAGCCACAGCTTATTCTGTGGTAACTGCTTCGTAAACCCACATCTTTAGCACTCAGTGGGTGCTTGGGGGCACCTGCCTTTTCATACTGTACTTCCAGAAATTTATTTTAAGCTACATTAATGCGGGATAAAGAAGCAGTGAGAAGAGCTTTTAAGTTTTACTCTCATAATAATAGCTCTGACTCAAAAAAATGTTCACACAGCCTGAAAGTTCCAGAGAAAGAGAGAGCAGGACAGCTTCTTGCAGCTCTTCTGCTCCCTCCCCCAGACCAGAAGGACTAGTGTGGGATGTTTTCTGTGGGGTATCTACCATACTACATGCTTAGCATTCAACTCTGTGTCATCGCAGTAAGTACAGTGCAAAATCCTCTTGCAAAAAGTGCTATAGTGAAGGTTTGAGTTACAATTGTGACTCTTTTGGAGCCAGAAGGGTTAGCAAGTCAGCAGTTTGCATTTGCAGCACGTGCCATGTTGTGCATACCAAAACATCAGGTTCAAAGGACACTTTACAGTCTAGCTCTGTTGGGTGACATACTGGCCCCAAAGGAATCCTCTAGGAAACTCCCATAAATCTCATTCAGGGCTAGAATATCACCAATATGGAGAATCCATACATTTTTAGAGAGACCAAGATAGCTCTTTCAAAGATAATTTCTTTACAGATCCTTCTATGAAAGCTTGCACTCCATCCCAAACTCCAGCTGCAGTCTTCACACAAACTCTGACAACCTCAGTCAGGTTGTGTTAACCCTACCGCTCAAGTCCGTTTACACCAAGCGAAACTCCTGTGCGCTGAAGGTGTTTAGCAGTCCATGCTAATGGTACCAGCAGTCTCTCTAACGTGCCGTTGATGTCCAAGTCCTTCATGGGTACAGTCTGAAAGGAGATGTCCTGCAAACACTGCGACTGACCAGCATTTTAGTCATGAGTAGCCACCAGATGTACAGCCAGGGACTTGTACAGGACAAGTGTGTGCTATGCTGCCAGTAGGGTCAGTTAAATCACATCTCGAAGAGCCAGTTGACAAAATGGAGTCCAGTAGATTCAGTGTTTCTAGAGGAATAACGTTAGGCGTTTCCATTTTCCTTCCTATCCCTCCCCTCCCCCTTGCTCTGAAGCATCCCCCATGTGTCACATTCAGAGTGTCAGCGTTTTAGGCCTTCTGTGTTCATGGACTTTTCTGGGAGAGTTTAATGGTGACCGTTTTCACTTCAGTATATTCTGCCAAAGCATATTCACCACTGGAAAACAAGAGAGAGGAGGGAAAGGGACCATAAATTGTAGTATGTTAACATGTACTTCCCTAAGGTAAGAGATTTCTTCACAAGTGCTTTTTAGCCACTGACTGACAGCTGCTGTAGGTGCTTCTGGTCACAGTAACCCACAAGATGACACCTTGTGACTCTCTGCCTAGTGAAAACTCAGTACTATTGTGAGGATCCAGAGAAGAAACATCCACGTACCCATAGTTATCAGTGCTTAGACAGGAATTAAAGTTACTTTTTCACTGAAAGCAAGCTTCTATTTACAAGATACCATATAATCAAGAGGGCACCGATTCTCCAGAAGCTCACACTGATGGCAGACCCCACCATTGCATTATGTCCTGGCTGGTGGAAACTGGCTCTATTCCTGTGCCTTGCCCAAGGGATAAGCCCCTGACATGCTTTAATTAGCCAGGCAGTCAGGCAAAGCAAGCCATAAGGTCTCAATAGATGTGTCCCGTTTGAGGATTCATTCGTTGCTGTGCTTCGCAAGTGAGGCATCTGAATGTCTCAAAGCAGCAGATGCACCAGAACAGCTACTGGGAATGGTTCCTGGAAATAAATCTGGCTTATGAAAGAAAAGGTGCATTAGATTCCTCTGAAGAGTCTTCTGAATGGTGTAATAAAACCTGCCTCTCTTCTATACATGCAGAAAATTATGATTTAAGACAACTTCTCAGCTCTACCTCTAACTTACAGGGTGGCCTTGGTTTAAAAATTTCTGCATTATTAACTTTCTGTAATTTAATAGGAAGCTTGGAAGGTGGGAGGTGATCTGAATGGAGTGGAATGATCTTGGAGTTCATTCCTTGTTGTTCCAGCTCCAACATTAGAAAGCCAGAGGTGCAAAGAGGCCCAACTCGGACCAGTGATACATCAGTCAAGGGAGGCCTGGATGCCACCATATAACGATGGAGGAGGTTTGGGGTGGTTATCAGTGTCCCCTGCCAAGGTGCCATACTTTTCCCTTGATTTAAAAATCTAACTTGTAAGGAAAAATGCTTGCAAGTGGGATTGACTGAGCTGGACTTAAGAGCTTATAAAGCAGATGAAGGTACTCCTGCAGGCACTGCTCACGTTCTCACATCTGTGCTGTACATCCACACTGGACTGGCTTAGCACCTCCCTGTGCAGGATGCTGCAGGCCTGATGGTTTAAAAGCAAATTCAACAATATTTTCAGAGAGTCACAGTCATTGTATTGTGTATCCACATATAAACAAAATATTGAGCAAAACTTACAGTTCTCTGCCATTGCCTGACATTTTAAAGCCACCAAAAGGAGCCTGTGCATAGAGCGCATTGTAACAGTTGATCCTACAATAAAAACATCGATTGTGAAAAGACATTTCAATACCAAGGAGAGGCAAGATGATAACAATAACAATACAAAAAAGGCTAAATCTCTCAGTTTTCTCTTTATGCAGATCATTCACTTGAGAAATCAGATTTTATCAATAAAAATCTTATTTTTCTACAGAAACATAAAACATTTGAGTGGTACTCGGTCTGACCCACATCTCACTTCATAGTCTCTAATGACTGTAAGACATTCATGCTCGAGCTGGAATTGATGCCGTGTTCAGGGCCATGCTTAAAATAAATAGTCCAACCTATTCCCTAGTTCAATGAAGCACATTCTGAGATTAACATATTTATTCAGAAAGCTGTCTAAACACTCAAAAGCAGACCCCAGCATCCATTTCCAGGTATAGAAAAATGTTGGACTGCATTAGAGAATTTTGTTGCAGGAAAACGAAAGCTTTAGCCCCATTTCTATAGACACCAGGTAGGAAAAGATAATGTAGATACTTCCTCAGCATCTCAGTCAGAGCAAATGACTGAAGAGAGACAGGTATGGTTTGGTGCTATAGGACTGTACCTTCAGGTATGTACAACACATGCATCCTTCAAGGCCCAACATCCCGTTTTTATGTAAATATTATTCAGAGGGAGATTGTGCTGGCACCAACTCTTGACATCAATCCTCTGTATGCATCAAAATCAGACACCAGATCAAATTCCTATCTTTAGTGGGAAAAAAAATCAGGATTCCATCTTTAAAATTATTCTAACATGAAGAAGTCAGCAAAAATAGCTATTTATCTTTCTGACAGTGGTGTGATGCCATCTACTGTCCATAATGATTTGTGCAGCTCAGACCCTATCTTCTGAGGAGAATATCAATAATTAAACAGACTAATGCTTCTTCCCTCCAGCGCTTACACATGATTCCAAACCATACATCCCTCTCCCCTCCCAGGAAACAAAATCCCAGCCCACACTCAGGTCCCGCACTGCTCACCAGACAGTTCCTGATTGCAGTGCAGAAGCTAGCGTTAGTGCTCTGTCCAGATTCTTTGTGAACACTGCAGCTGTAAGTCCATACTCAGTACTGTTGGCTCTTCTTATGACTTCTTCTATACTCTTGAACTTCATAATAGGCTGAACTGGCCCGAAAATCTGCACATATCAATTGAACATCAGTACAGGAAAGCCTCTGCTAATCATGGTAATTCTGAAGTAATCAGAATTGGGTACTGTATTTAAAATGTTATATCCTAGCCTTCTAGAAGTCACTGATAGAATCCCTTAAAAACTACTAATTAAACTGACTTCAAAGGAAGTACAGTGATGTCTTGTACTAGTTAATACCTGCTAAGATCCAACAACTGGAGGATCATCTATAACAATCAAAATAAGCAGAGTTTAATCTGGACATGTTTCAAATGATTCATCCTTACTCCATTTACAACTCTCCTTTTGGACTCAGCGAGTATACTCAAGAAGGAATTAATATATTTCAAGCATTGCAAGTTTTCTTCTTTGGTTTTTGCCCTGATTTTGTCATTGTATGCAGTTTATTTGCATGCAGTGCATTTACCACGTATGTGTTTGACCACAAACTTGGCTTCCCAGGTTGCCAGGATGAAGGCAGCCAGCACACACAATACTTCACGATTTCTGGGATGGAGTGTCTCCTCAGATATGGTACCAAAGGTGAGACACTTTCCTGGGCTGTAGTACAATAAACCCCCACCAAAAGTGAGACACAGTTTCACTTGTGCCACCTTGCGCTAAGCAGTTTGCCTGGCCTTTAGCTTCATACAAGTGTTTCCAAATGTCTTAGTTTTGGAAGATACAGGTACTTTACTGAAGCCTTGATCCCAGACAAAGGATGAACATGCATTTGCAACAAAAGTGCAAATGAATGAAACTGGATAAGCTACATGAATCATGACTTGGGATTTGGAGTCAGTTCATTTAAAAAAAAAAAGGCCTGTCATGGGATTTTCAGCTCTTATTCCCTCTATTTTTAGAATCTAGCTCATGCCCAGACTGACTGATATCTTTCCCAGGTTCCTTAGAGATTCTGTGGCAGATCTGAGACATCTAAACATTTTGCCAGGAGTGAACAGTAAGCAGCCTCATAAAAAGCACTAGACTAAACTGTAAAATACAAGTGCCAGTTGGACTTTGGCATTACTACTCATTTTCCATTGGGGAACATGATGAAAAGAAGATTAACTTGTATTTCAAAGGAATATCACAGGATCTAATCACATGCAGCTTGCTCCATTTTTCTGCATATGAATAATGAAAGACAGAGTATTAGATCTGCACTTTGCTGGCTTTGATCGTATTTTCATATAGGAAAAAAAAAAAAAGGTCAGACTCCAGGGATTGCACCATGAGAACGAAATCTGGGATTAGTTCAGAGGCTAAGGCTACTTGAGAAAAGTTCTTCAGTGGCAGTATAGCATGGCCATTCTTTCCCTCCTCACCAGCTTCAGGTCCCAGAGCTCTTGTCTCACCTTTCTGCAATAAAGCAACTCCTTTTTTACAAAGTAATGGAGCAAGAACACACATTATACTGTCCCCTGTCACTTTGAATCGGCATGCACCACAGCTGAGCAATTTCAAGTCTGGTCAGTAGGAGGTGCGTAAGAGCTGTCCCTCTGCATAGGAGAGCTTAACTCTGTCTTCAGAAAGCCTTCAAACTTCAGAGCAAAGAATACGTAGAATTGCTCCAGCCTGCCACAGTTTCAGTTATTTATATTTAAAATCAAGGATTCAGACAGAAACCCCTCCATCACCACTATTTCTTATTCAGAAGCAGCGTTTATAGCAGCTGTATCTAGGTAAGGCATGTGTTTGGATTTTGAGTTATATCAAGTTCTCCTGAAATGACACCCGAAAGCTTTAGGGTAGTATTATCTACTATGTTTTCATCTGGTTTGTTATTGTCTAGTGAGTACCCTCACAGGGCTACTTTCCTTTTGTAAAACCAAACAAAATGCAAGACGTTAGAAAGGGCTAGCAAACAGACACCTATTAATTTTACAAAAATTGTTGCTAAAACATTTGAACAGGTTTTTTGCCTGTTCTGCTCTCCTCCTTCTCCTCTCACAATCCTGTCCCTCCCGTCCCCCCCCACCCCTTCCCAATTGAAGCTCACCCTGCAGATACTTCATTAGTAGAACGGATTTCAGCATTAGGCAGTTGTTAGGACACTGAAATAAGTTAAACAAGGGAACCTTCTATTCTTCTCTCAGGTTTTCCCTTCAAACCACTACCATACCTCTTTTCTTTCCCATTTACAGTAGTAAATGCAGATAAATGTTCAGGTGACTTGTACTGTACCTCTTCTTTGGCGATACGCATGTTGTCAGTGACCTCGGAGAACACAGTGGGTTTTATGAACAGGCCTCTGTCTTCAATGGCAAGACCCCCACACTCCAGCTTAGCTCCTTCTTTCTTCCCACTTTCTATCAGCTCCAGAATTTTATCAAACTGTTTTTGGTCAATCTGTCAGACACAAAAGGAAAAGAAACAGACAGCAATGGCTTTATTATCACTGTTCCTGAGACCGGAGTCATGGTACGTGGCCCTGTCAGACCAGGGAAGTTTACATCCCATTCTCTGATGTGGCAGTCAGGCAATAAGCAGGCTGAAAGACAGGATGGGGGCATAGCCCTGAGTCACAGAAAACAGAAGGTGAAGTTCCATGTGATAGTTTAGGCTGATCTAATAGTTCGCTGCCACAGAGAGGGGGGCTCCCCACCTCCCCTACTTCTGCATCATGGATGTGCGCTCCCATGGCTCACCTCGCTCCAGCTCTGGGACTTACTGGCCTTCTCCAGGCACTGATTCAGCTCAGTAGCACCGTGAGAACAGCTTGAGATGGAAGAACCCAGTGAGCGCTGCCTCCATCTCTTTCCATACATGCACACTATGTGGACAGCCTCAGAGATCAGCCCTGTTAGTGAGGCAACTTCAGAACAACTACCGCACTGAAGCCACACTTTTAAAATCAGGAAGAGCCTTTCATGGATCTTAGAGTTTAGTGCCATCCCAGCATTTTTTTGGTTCTCTGGACTGAGAGCCATACCCAGACCAGGACACTGAAGTCGTGGAGCTGTGCAGCCCTACACCAGGACTTGGAGGAGACATCAGAGAAATTTCTGATCAGTACTGGTCCTTTTCTTGTGCTCCACATGCGGCAGTGTACTGCAGGTGCTGTCAGGTTTCCGACAAAAAGATGTGGCTATTTGCATGATGCATAATTAAGCAATGAAACACTTCATCACAGCACACTGCAGATGGTAGAAGACTTTATGGAGATGTTTTAAAAAAAGTAAAATTACCAAAAACCTCCACAAATTCATTGAGGGGATTAAATAAAAGACTCCACCCACTGGTTCAAGGTGCCCTGGCAGCTTGGGAAGTTATTCTGAATGCCAGGTGTCTCCAGAAGCCTGTACTCATCCAATACTCCTCCCTAGGCATCTGGTTTTATTTCAGCAGGGCCAGTTGCCAGTTGGGACTATTTACACGGAGTGTTCAACACTCAAGTCCTCCAGGTTACAGGCTATATCCTGTCCCTTGTTAATCCTGGCCACACACAATCTAAATTTTCATGCTTTTAGACAAATATCAAAGCTTCAGGAGGGTGGCCTTGGGATACTTCTGATCCACAGCAAGAACAGAGAACAGCACATCTCCTGCCACACAGATGTGAGTATCACATGCACTGCAGACAGCTTGTACTAAGTGCTCATGTTCTGTCGTGTGTCAAGATACTACTCAAGAAAGCACTTGATACCTGCTACTGCACGAGGAAATGTGTGCCCTCATGTAGGATACACAGCATCACATAGTAAGTTTGGCAGGTGTCATACATATTGTCTATTTGTCTGGTTGCTTAGCTGCCAAATGTAAATAATTTGAAAATATCTGCAAGTGCTTTCCATCCTGGCATGTCTGTGATCCAGACCAATCCAGTTCATCCACTTCACATCACAGAAAACAAAACAAGGATATTTATACAGCTGTAACTTGTTGCAAGGCAAACTATAGTTAGATGAAAAGACACTGGGGAAAGAAAACATTTGTAAAAATGACATGCAAGGGTGGAACTGTTTGTCGTTGTAACGAGAGCTTGCAAAGCTTGTTTAAATTCTGTCCCCTACTCCACAATTATTTATGGTTCGAGTGTTGACTTCTATTAAAAACACATGATCTGGCAGAGCAAATTCTACTATTTGTCCATCTAATTCAAAAGAGAGGAAGGCTTCTGAGAACCCCCAAATCTTTATATCTTGCTTCATTTAAGTCAAGGCTGCAAGAAGCAGTTTTTCCTTTTCCGAACCTATCTTTTGTAATCCTACAGAATAACTCCACAACGGTGTCCAACACGCTGTTGGACACATACTCTTTCTACTTAAATATTTAACTTTTATGCTTTAATCTTAAAGCAAACAAACATCCAGAGTCTAAGGAAAATACCATCTTAAAAATCAAACAATAGGTTTTGGGCTGAATAATTTCTGGCTAGCAAGTGCCACGAGGCAGCCTTAGTGCTTTTTTTTTTTTTTCTGTAGACCAGGCCTTACAGTCCCCAAATCCCAGTGGCATTCTACAGTGACAAAACTAGTTTAATCTTGTTCCAATCTAATCCTTGCTTTAGTCCACCAGGACTTTAGTCTCATCTAATGCAGTCTGCTGTTCACAACTATATAATGCACCGGTTAACCAGTTTGCTGTCTGTGCAGATTGAGTTTATTACTTCCTGTGATCCAGCTCTCAGGAATCCAAGGTTACAAAATGCCCTCGGTCTGCGTTTGAGGCTGGCACTCAAACAGTCCTGACCACCCCTCAGGTTTCCTGTGGCGTCCTTTGAATTCCAGCCAGCCAACAAAGTCAGACACATGTGAGTTTTGGAGAAGTCTCATCAGAAGCATGCCTCATTTCTGTTTAAATATAATAGTGTTTAAATTTGACCTAATTTTGATCAGAGCAGTGCAGTTTATATCAGCATAACCCAATATTGCAGCTGACACAGTCTTTTCCCCACACCCATGCCACAGGCATCCACGCCAGTGCACACTGATCCACATCAGGGAACTGACCTGAGTAAAACCTTTCTTCCTCACTTCCAAAAAGGCAGGATTAGACCTGAATCAGCCAGTTCCCCAATGTATTTCATAAGTGCAGTGCAATATAGGAACAAACAGCTGCACTCAGGACTTTTCCAGCACTAGATTACATCAACTTTAAGCCCTGGTGGACCAGTATTGTCCATCACCTCATCTTGTCCTGCACAAGGGTGTCTCAGCAGCTCCTTGGAGCACTATGCTCCGCCGTGGTGCGGTTTGGTTTCACTGAGCAGTAGCTCAAAGTTTCACTGCAGAGGCTCTGCTATTTTACACTTCCTGAACTCTCTACAAGTTGCAGGTCCTGTTGTCTGGCACTTGGAGCTGATGTAGGACCAGAAAGATCATGGGCTACAACCACTGTCAGCCTGAAGGCTAGCTCCAGCTCCTCCAGCTTAGATCACTGCCTTCTAAGCCAGTGATCATCCCAGAATGGGGTCTACGCAGCAGCCTGGGGCCATTTTTGTAATGCTGTTGTGTATGTTCATCATGACCCACACAGAAGGAGAATGAAAGCAATGACCTGGATCTCCCTGCTGGAGAGAGATGAAGGAGAAGAACAAGACAGATTGTTTTTCTTTGTGATTCTTCCCTTATCCATCAGTTGAAGACAAAAAAACCCTCACAGCAGAGCAGGTTACTTCAGGAACAGAGGAACAATTTGTTCTAGAAGCTTCACATTTGAACAGCAACTTGTGGGCAGGTGTGAATCTTTGCTACTTTTGGAGGTATTTTAAGACCTTGTGACACTGCATCATCACTCTCTTCTGCTTGAATTTCTGTGTATTGCATCTTATAGCATAGGCTCCCTTTCCTAAGACTGCTGAGCAGTTTGAAATCTCTTTCTAGGCAAATTCCAGGGATAGATGTAGCCCCAGCATGAACAGGGGATGTACATCATCTCATTCCCCATGTGTGAGGACATGCAATGAGGTTTTGCCATGAACAAATCACGTGTAAATGGGCCTAGATCCAGATAAGGGGAGGAGAATATAATCACAGCCATCCCTTCTCTGGGGGATCTTATATAGTATCAAGGAAGAAAAACTCCCAGTGCAGAACTGAGAACCGGCGGCCTAGGCTGTAGATTGCTGGGATTCCCCCTTTTTTTGGTAGCAAACAGGGGCCCTCTTAGAAGATCTGACCCAAGGATCATCCTCTTCCAGAGCTCTCTACCACAGCTCAGATTGCTTTGGAAGGAAAAAATAAGAGGAAAGCTCTGGAAGCATTGACAAGGCTGATCGTGACAGCAGCTTGGCATGGTTCTTCCTCCTAATTCAGCTGAAACTTCTCCAAAGAATCAGAAAGAGAGCAGAGGAAGAGAGGGAAAGTGGGGACTCAGGAGTCCCTGGGCTCTAACTACTTGTCATCACCAACACAGCCAAGAAGCTGAATGGACGTTTCCACAGCTGCACTCTTCTGTGCATTGCAATTTCCTGCTGCAACATGCTTTGTATTACTGTACCAGGGAGACAGCCCCTTCCATAAAGCTGGATAAGAAGTGAATTAAATACATTTGTGTTTAAAAAAAATACAACATAACATTTCAACAGTTGTGATTAATTGATATTTAAAATAGAGAGAAAAATAAAGCCATGATACATTACTCACCCCTCAGCACTTCTGCTGGAACCATATTTGCAAAGATAATATTTACACAAGGAAAATTAAACAAAAAACACAGCCGAAAACCAAACAACAACTGTTCCAGGCACACAGTTACCTGGGGCCCTTGTTCAGTTCTGGCATCAAAGGGGTCTCCAACCAGTCGCTTCTTGGCATACTCCACGCTGCGCTTGACAAACTCCGGATAGATCTGCTCCTCCACAAACACTCGCGAGGCAGCCGTGCAGCACTGCCCTTGATTGAAGAACACGCCTTGATGGGCACATTCCACTGCCAAGTCCACTGCAACAGGAGGGAGAAGTGTTACCACATGCACTGTTTCAGCCTTACAGTGTTTCCAGACTTGTTTTTTCCTTTCTCTTTTGAAAACCTCCTTAAAAATATGCCAACAATGGTCCAGACCCATTGAAGGCGCTCACATACTGCCCCCAAACCAGATCTCTTATTATTTGCACCCCACTTCCTGCCTTTTGTCTCAAGGTCTGGTTTGCTATAGCTCCTGATACTTTCCTCCACAAGGACTCACTGAGGATAGCAACCAGTCTTTCTTGCTATGGGAATTCAGGTGTGGATTCCTAGATACATCGGTTCCTGAAGACTAGTTTCTGTAGTGATTGTTTCGAAAGCAATGTGCCCTTCTGTTGCACAGCCAGCTGGGACGGGGTCCTCGCAATGCTCACTGTTAGCGGATGGCACACATTCCTCTGGCTTTCAACCTCTGCTGTGCTCTGCAGGAGAGTGGAGAGTATTTTCGGCAAGCCAAATAGGACTTTCCAACCACTTTGGTGGTCACAGGTTACACGTATCTCTTAGCTCTACTCACTAATGCAACAAAGTCACAACAGAACATGCAAAATGAGTCCTGCAGATCCCCAGGATAGAGGGGGAGGCTGGATTAGATCAGGTTCTATGAAACCTTCCTGTTATAGCAATGCATGCAGAGTGGCTGCATTTTAGAAAACTGCTTTCCCCACTGCTTGTCTCAGACTCTGCAGTACTGCCAACCACAAAGAAGGCACCACAACAGCAGAAGCGCACAAATGTGAGATTTATCTGCAATTTCAGCCATCTCCAGGGAAGACATCTGCTCATTTGCCATCGGAACAGTCCCCGTGCTGGGGAAGAGCTCCAGTGAAGCAGAACCACATCCTGTTCTTGGATAGAGGTTTCCTCCAGCCTTTGTGTGGATGTAGTGGCAAACACCAGTCCCGCTAGCTGCCAAAGGACAGCAGAGGCACACAAAAGCACTGCACTCATAGCATCTTAGTTGCCAATACTTACAGTCTGCATCTGCGCACACGATGCAGGGGTTTTTCCCTCCAAGCTCTAATGTCACCCTTTTGAGGTTGCTTTTGGAAGCCGCTTCCTTGATCAGTTTTCCAACCTGTAGCATTGAGACACAAAGGGGACATGAGATTTTCCCCTGAAAGTCTTAACTCAGTGTGTCAAGTGTGATGCTAACAAGGGTAGAAGAGCCTGGTGGGTGGCTGAAGCAGGTAGGAGTCAGGGATGGCATTATTAAATGGTTTAACTGTGGGCCTTGATGGTTTGTGAGTTTCACTTTCAAAAACTGGGAATTCAACTTCTTAGAGTAGGTCTTGCCAAGGCCATGGTAAGAACTCACTGTTCCTGTTCCACTCCTGTACCAGAAAGCCATGTAGAGGTTTTGACATTTAGAAGAAAACTTCCTCTTTCTGACAGTTTAGGCTGAGCTGCACCACACACAAGAGTAGCTGACACATGTTCCAAGGCAATTCTTGAGGATGTCAACAGCCAAGCTCTGGCTAGCTCTGCTGTGACACCTTCTGCCCAGGAACCTGCTCTGACCATCTGGTGGAATTTATCTGGAAAGGATTTACCCTGCTTCCAGAATTTAATCAAAGTAATGTCAAACTACAGGTTTTTCCCCCCTAGAAAAATAGTTTCATATCAAATGTTTTCCCCAAATTCTGACTGATGGTCTATTTCTTTTTAATACTGATAACACCAAAACAGCAATTTCTCTTTCTGTTTTAAAAAAATTGAATTCCTCACAAGAAGAGCATAAATCAAGCATCAGACTCATTTAGTAATCTAGTTTTGTTGGAAACAATGTGATTTAATACTATTTGGGACCTTCAATTGTTAAGGCAGGTTATTTTTTTAACTGTGACCTTATACTTGAATTCCTTCATTTTGCAAGTGGTTTTCTTGTATTTTACCTTTGCACATGCCAAACTTAACTTCATTTCTGCCCCAAAACACTGTTGCCCTGGAGTGGAGCTGTGAGCAAGGAAAGCATGGGGCAGCTGGCTGGCAGTTATAGGTCGGCATTTCTCACGGTTTGCCTTTGTAACTCGAGAGAGACTCCTGAACCTAGTAGTACAGATCATCTCTAGTCACTCAGCAGCCTGGTCCTAGAGACAGCAGAAATAAGCGATGCATCCTGCTGCAGATACACAGAGCTTCACAAGAGGCATTCCTACAAGGTAGCTGTCCGAAGAGGAGTAGTTAAACTAAGGGAAAGAAAGAAATCTAGATGGGAAAATTCTCATGGAGTTGAAGATCAGTATTTCCAGGCTGGCTCTGAGCCCAAGCTGGGGCTTAAAAACTAAGTCAAAATGTATTTTGAATTAGCTTCACTTCCTGGCTCAGAAACAGTAGCGTTACGCTGCAAATACTGCAGAGATGCAGCTCAACACAGATGGGTGGGGCAGGAAGAAAACACTTCTAAATTACACACACATTAGCAAAGAATCTGTCTCCCTCGGTGTTTCCTGCACACCCATGGATTAGGAAAACAAGCACAGCACAGATAGGAGATTTTTTGCCTACAGGGTCCAGCAGCTGAGATTTTCCTTCTGCCCCTAATCCACAGGATACTCCTTTTTAATTAAAAACCCAGACAGAACCATGTGGGCTGGGTGAGTCTATAAACTCTATTGTTTTCACACAGCCAGCAGCTAATCTGGGCTAAAAGTTTCTGATCTAGGATTTGGAGAGCAGCATATATCTGGGTAAACTCCTAGGTTAGAGCAACTATCAAGAGAGTAAAAGCTCCTTGTGAACTTCTACTTTCTTGAGTTCGTGCTTGTTTCCCATGATCCCTGTACAGAAACGGAGGCTTAAAACACCTTCTCCTGGGGATAAGCGAAGCAGTGAGCATGTGCACAAAGCCACTAGATGGTACTGTTGTTAAATGCAGCAGCTTTGGAGTGTTCAGTGAGTTACCTTTACCGACCAAGAATACCATTCAAGGTAATTTGTCATCATTATGCAATTAGATTACACTCTGCAATTATGAGGATAGGTATAAGAATAGATGAATTTGGCAAATGCTCAGCAAGAATAATGTTACTCAAAAAAATAAAACTGAAAAAACTATATTTGCCTCAACTGCACCCATTGGTGTCAGCATTTCCATTGTCTGGATGCTGCCTCTCTTCAGGGGGTGCGTATATATTGAAAAAAAAAAATCTAGAGCAGTGAATGGAAGAACATTCTCATTTCTAAGCCAGTTTTTGTTTGAGGATTTGCAGTAGTGATTACTGGAGACAAATTTGTTTGCATGCCACAGCTGCGCTCCGTTCTGTGGACTAAGCCAAGCCATGCGCTCCTTTCCGCCATGTAGGTACAGAAGAGGACGGCTGTCAGTGTCTGATAGTGCAGAAGTCTCGTTTCCACCCCTCTCTTAAGCAAGGCAGCTGTAGCTATTTACAGGAAAAAACTGAATAGAAGACGCCTTACTGCGCAGGTCTCAAATGAAGCTCAAACGTTAATCCCATCCACGTCAGCCGAGGAAGCCTTGGGCACGGGGCCATGTTTTTATTTAAGTCCTAGTTCCTCAGAAGTAACTAAAGCTGAGGAAGAATTGTTCAGGGCTCTGACTGACATGTTTTCCACTTGCACACGCTTGCAGGGCAGGACTGGCAGGCAAACTTGCCCAGAAGCCCCGTCCAGTCAATGACATGATGTTAAGTCACTGCCAGCCTCTCCTGCAGGCTGTCTTTATGTCAGAGCATCTATTACTTCTGTTCTTACAGAAATGTGGTGGTTTGGCGAAACCCAGCTTACAGAGACGCGAGATTATCACAAGCCTGAATTAGACAAATCACAAACACTTCTGAGAAATCCTGTCACATGGAATATGATGGAAAATGGTGTTGGCTATACAGAAATCACTAACACTTCATTGGTTCAATCTTCTGTGGATGGCAGTTTTAGAAGAGAATGCAAAGAGGAGCAGCAGGTGTTTTATGAGAAATCCATTGCCTACCTTTGTCGATCCAGTAAAAGCAATTTTATCAATGCTGTGGTGGGTAGAAATAGCAGCTCCAGCTGTGGGTCCATAGCCTGGCACAATGTTCACCACACCTGGAGGGAAACCCACCTAAAACAGAGGTTAAATACAGAGAGATTTTGAGCACTCTGGAGCTGATCTGCTCTCCTGAGAGGGCAGTTTGGTTCTCAGGAAGCTTGAATTAGTTGCACTATATTCCTTGTAATTAAGAATTGCAAGGTGCAGAGCCCACACCAGATACATCACTGTTTTCCAGACTTACCAGTAACGTGGCTGTGTGCTACCAGCTGGAGTAGACGTGGGTGAAACTAACAGCCATGCTTAGGAAATGCCAAGTTTCAGTAAGAATTCTTGGAGGAATCCCAGTTTCAAGTCAAAAGAGAGGGAGTCTTTTGGCCAAACTTGGCCCCCAGCTACTGCTGTGCAGCTGGAGCCAAGGGGTAACTGAATGAAAGTTTGTTTTGAACAAAGGTTGACATTTGTGGTTCTTCAGGGGCCAGAGGGATTAAGAAGTCAATAAAATCTCACTAAATGATGGGGCTAATAAAACAGGAATACAAGAGCAGATGGTAACAGACTCATGCCAGTTTCCAGCACATTTACAACCTAGATTAGCCAACTAGCAATTTTGCCAGAAGAGACAAATGGCAAAACTTTAGGTGAAATTCTAGTGCAGCACTTACTGGTCTGGTTTTAGTACCTGAAACTGAGTTTCAAGGCTTATGCTGTTCTGGGCTAGACTTCCCCTGCTACTGATTGCACAAAGTTGTTTTCCCTGCATTTTCTAACAATGGAATTGCAGGATATGAAGCACTCACTTCATTTCTTGTGGCTTTTTAATATAAAATCTCAATAAATGCAGTTGCTCCTTCCTAATACAGAAAAAATGAAGTAGTTGCTCATGTACTGTCTTGCAAAAAATGATCTTCATAAGACTTTTTTTTTTCCTATTTCTTCTTTTCATAAATTGGAAGGGCAGTCTGATTTTTTCTATGAATGTGACAATGATAAAAGTGAGTTTAATAGAGTTTACATCTTGGCTAATGAGTTTTCAAGAAAATACTGCATGTCAAACTGTGCAAGTAATGGTGTTTGGAATCAGCACCAAAGCCACAAGGAAGCAAAAAATTGGTTCAGGTCACCCTGAGCCAAGGAGTTTTCTCTGTTTTTCAGCAAAAAATGAAAGCCAAAATATTTTGGTTGGCCCAAAATTATTTCATTGAACCTAACACATAGCTTTGTTTATGTGTTAACATCTTTTGCATCCTTTCAAAGACCAAAAAAAAAAAAAAAAAAAAAAAGTATAACTTATTCTTCTGAAAGCTGTGAAGAATTTAGCTAATTTTGGGCGGAGAGAGGAGCATCTTCAAATAAAATTATTTTGCTCTAATTACACTTCTGCCTTGAAGGATAACTGTAAGAAACAGGCAGCTTAGAATTTCAGCTCAAAAAATTAATTTCACCAGAATTGAATGGGGTTTTTGGGGGGAATGCTATGCCTGTGTTTGGGGAGCTGTATGTCAGAGTGAAAAAAGCAGTGGCGTGGCAGGGCTAACTAGAAGTCATGACAACTGCACCCTATGCTCACTCATCTTATGTAATATAATTAAATCAATTAACTGTAGGAGATACTTAACTGTAAGTATTTTTGCACTGCCCTTCCTGATGGAGGAGCCTTAAGTGTCAATTCTTAACATATCTTTTTATTTTCTCCCAGGCTAAGCCAAGAGCAGACAAAATCATCATTAACGTTTGGCTGAGCCTAAAAAACAGACTTTTTCAGCTGAGAGGCAAAAGCATATCTACAACCCTTCTAGTTTTCCTCATAATTAGTCACACACACATACATGAAGCTGACTCACTGACCAGTGCTGGAAGGTACTGTGCGCCTCCCACCACCTCAGTGGGATTAGTAGATCTGAGAGTACCTGAGATCCTACCTGCCAAGCCCTCAAACAACATTTTGAAATCCCAGCCTATGATCTTCCCTTTATGTCAGTATCGAGTTGGTTTTACAGGCCAGATATAGCTAAATTGTTCTATGAACTACAGAAATTATGAGGAATTGTTTCTCGTGGCACTCTGTCTTGGTTGAATTATCCCACTTCAAAATGGTTCAAACACAACACTGCTGTCTAATCACACCCTTTTTTGTCCCATTGTCTAATAAAACTGAGCTGTAGTCTTTCCCTCATTTGGGAGAGGGAAAGAGAAGGCAAAGGAATAAAAGCACCATTTTTTTCTCTCTGCAGCTTCCCAAGAAAGGAGAAAAACCTACAGGTTTTGTGATCTTTTCTACCTCCCAGCCAGCCACTGCTGGTCATGAAGGACTTCGTAAGAAAAGACTGAAGACGGAGGTTGTTCTCACTTTCCTCTGTGAGGCTTTAGTATCTTTAAAACCTAAAAACCTACACAGCCAATTAAAAATACAATCTTGCTTACGACCTTAAAAGAACAGCACCTAGATGGGATGTTTGGATTTCCTTACCTCCTTGATCAGGGAGCCAATGTACAGCGACGTGAGAGGAGTTTGTTCAGCTGGCTTGATAACCAAAGTGTTTCCACAGCACAGCGCTGGTGCCATCTTCCAAACCAGCATTAGCAATGGGAAGTTCCACTGCAAGAACACAAGGCTGGTCAGATCAGCTCAGCACAGTCACCTACTCCCTTCCACACAGCCTTTTCCCCACCTTCACAAAGCTCAGGGAGAAAGAAGCAACTGGGAGGCCAGCCACAAAGAGAAGTGCCTGCTTACAATACTGTGTTTGCTTGGGCTACGGAGTATAACTTCCTTCCTCTCCCCTTGAGATCCCAAATATTGCTGGCAGTCCTCAAGCTAATCCTGTAAATTGGACAAACCTCTGCATGATGTGACCTCATTCTTTACAGGAGTTTGCTCACACTTTGTTTAGGATTTTGGCTGTGCACAGAAATCATGTTGGAGGCAGTGTCCTGATGCATCACTTTTATAAAGCATCGTTATGTGGGGGAATCAGAGGGTGCAACTGCTCATTGAAAAAAACTCATTTTTCTGTGTTAGGTATTGGCTGAGTACTCAGGAGTTACACAATGTCATTCAATTCCAGATTTATAACTAGGAAACTGCAGCGGGTGTCCAGTCATGGAAATCCAGGGAAGGTCTTAGACTCCTTTCAGATTGTAAATTGCTCCTTTCCAATTAGTTTTCTTATTTGGAATTAGGAACCAGGCCACATCAGTTTCCTCTGTGCTAATCTCTTTCATGGTCCTGTGTATTTGTAGATCTTGGAGCCTCAGCAAGAAGTGGAAAATCTAGCTCACACTGAATCTGAGAAAGGTCATTTGGCAGCAGAAAGGATTTCTTCATTAAAAATAATTAATGCTGCTTTAGGGATGATGGAAGCAGGCCAACAGTAAGGGGACTTCTTGTCAAGACTCAAGCCAAGGGCCTTCAGCTGTCAGCAAAGAAGCCAGATATGTTAGGAATCCACAAATTCACACTTACAAATAAATTAGCAGTGTAGCTTTTAAGAGATGAGTTCTGCTCTAACCCAGCAGCCCTGAAACAAAGCGGAATTTAGTCTAATGTGCTATTCTTCAACTTGCCTCTCCCTCTTTCCCAGACCTGTTTCGTTTCAGTGATCTTCTCCAACGGCCACATCCCATAATTTGCCCATTTGTCTTTTTCTCCTAAGCCTTCTTGAAGGCCTGACTCTGCAGCTGGAGCCATCCACACCTACAAGACTTTTCTACACTTCCAGAACATGACTTAACTCCATTAGGAGCTTTCTGTTCCAGAATGGCTGCTGAAAGTAACAGTAAAGGACTCCAGGGCTGCCTCATGACATCACCTTGGGATAAAGTTCAGTCATATGCTGCACTTTCTAAGAACTTCCCTTGCTAAGAACGTTGGTTTAAATATAGTCAAGCCACAGGAAAAAGGGAGGACTGCTAATTGGTCTAGGGAGAGATATGCAGAATAGTGACAGAATCTCCTTAAACCAAGTAGGAATATACAAACCCACAGACTGTTGGTGTTACAGAGCAAACTGGGAAAAAAACTGAAGGGGATTTGTTCTAAGTAAACTAAAGACAGATGTGGTTTTGTTGACCCCAATCATCCTTTTTACAAACACAGTGTTGAACTTGAGTCAAATTTGTTTCTGTACTTTGCTTATATTTATTGCTGATGTAGGGTCAAGCTGAAATATTGGAAGTCCCATTATGTCCCCTTATAGTGGCGTTCCAAAGCATCCTACGTGTAGGCTTTTAAAGGGATAGTTTTCAAAGCATTACTGGGTGCCAAAGGTGGCTGAGTGTGACAGGAGATAACTGAGTTGGTGATCAATGTGAGGAATCTGATGGTTTGATCTTAAGTCATAAATTCTAGGTGCACACTGCTTGGTCAGCCAGAAAAGCTGTGCAGAATTCATCAAGCCAAACATCTGACGACTAGTACTGACCGTCTTCCACGGTGCCTCACCCTGACATTGCTAAATAGACTGCACCAACTTATCACTCAGTCCTGATGAAGGAAAAGCAAAATTTCCCCAGATATCTTTGGGAACTGGTCCAGACCTGGTATTCCTGGGATTCAGCAAATCCAATACCCCACATGCATTTCTTTTAGTCTCTCCTATAACCTTATCCCAAAGGTCAAAATCTTCCATGGATTCTTATTGATCCAGGTATCCAAACAGATAATCTCGGCACACCACCATTTGCCTCATGACCTAAACGATACCTCATTCAAAGCATTTTACAACCAGATAGGAACAAACTGTGTCCCCCATACAGCTGCAAATTCTTCCTGGCTGTCTGTTTAAACAGAGCAAGACACACACTGAAACTGGAGGGATTCCAAGAACCAGCCACACTGTCCCCTCAGCAGAGAATGAGACCTCAAGGAAAAGTAAACTCTGTTCAGAGATATTTAATCACAGAAAGCTCAGAGAACAGCCAGGTGTTATTAATAATGGAATATGATTTAAAACTCAAAGCTATGCAGCAGCACTAGGCAGCAAAAAGCTAGCACACGTAATGCCAAGATGGTTGTCCCAGCAGTGCAAGAGTCAGAGAGCTCTGACTGGTCTCTGGTGACTGGTGTCAGCCTTAGAGAGGAACAGAGCATCTGATTAGGAGACCCACCCTTCTATTGCAGAGGATTTTGTGTTGCCAAGAGCAATTGGCATGGGGGTAAAACAAGAAACTACATCAGGCAATGGAGATGGGAGTTCCCTGCAGAACAGCTGTACTTAACTAGGAAGCAAATGGCTGCAGTACAAGACGGGCAGTGCACAAGTTCTTCTTCCAGTTCTAAGGGAGATGCAAGGCACCATCACTGCTACTTACTGGAGTTATGGCTCCACAGACACCCATCGGTTCGTGCCTGGTGAAACAGACAAAATTTTCATCTGCAAGACAAAAGAATAAAAGAAGATGAAACAGTCAAAATCCTTGCTTCTACAGAAAAAAAGACTGCACACTAAAAGGTTGGAGACAGAACTAAAACCATATCAGATAAAGAATCCGATATCTCTTCATCTTAACTCCTGCCTCTGGGACATCCCAGGCAGATGAAGATTTGTCTGAGAATAGGTCTTGTGTCAGCTCAAAAGCCAAATACTGCTCACAGTCACAGTGGAGCCTTTTAAAACCAGGGGTTCAATTCCTTCTGCAAACACCCTGTATTGAGGCTAAGGGGAGGATAACTCCCTACCACACTGACGAGTAAGCAGACCTTTCATTCAGATTGTGTCTCACTGAAAGAAGCAAAGCACTTGTCTCCCTGAGGGGGAAAGTTTTTAAACCCATTTTGTACAAGAATCATATTCAGTGAAACAGGAATTGCATTTCTGGTAAGACATCACAAAAAGATGAAACTCTAGGAGTAAAGTAATGTAATTAATCTTAAAATACTGTTATTATGCTTTCAAAGAGAAAAGAGAGAGTAGGAAGAGAAAGAGAAAGTAGGAAGGACATTTTCTTTACAAATTCATTCTTGCTGAAAACCTAGTTTCATTGGGAAGATGTGACAGAAGATACGAACATTTCTAATTACAGTTTTTGGAAGTGATCTCAAATCAGGACCAGTGAGCAGTGTCCAGGCAAGCAAAGCTTCATGTTTCTCTGAAGGAGGGTGACAGATCTAAGTGGATATGACTGACATTGCTCCCTTTGCTGACTGCACAGGCTGAGCTAGTTCAGCCCCTCAGAGCATCTGAAGGCATCTAGGACAGCACAAGTTCTGCTGCCTTCATACAATTCTCCCTAGAAACCTCTGTCCTTACACTCTCTGGTATCTTAATCCATTTCAGTGATACCTCATGAAGAAACTCCCCTAGAACATGTGGGCTTTTTTCTTTAAGTATTTGTCTAGATTTAAAACCAAAAAGGTTTCTCTGTCCAAAAAGCAACAAAAGAGCCCATCCATTATTTTCCAGAGATCTCTCCAGGCATTCACATTGTCCTCCCACTAGTCTAAATCTTGAAACACATCTACCTAAAATGCATCCTGAGATAGAAAGGAAATGCAAGGCTGGTTTTGCTGGTTTTCAGAAGACAGTCTTTCCATGCCTCTCCCCTCTGACAGGCTACTCTCCCACCCCCTCAAGCCTGATCCCATCCCAGATCTGAAACTAGGTCTGAAGGGACTTACCCACTGGGATAGTTCTGCCCTGAATTTTATCAGCCCATCCAGCGTAATATCGGAGCGTTTCTATACAACCTTCCAGGTCAATGAAATAAGCATGCAGAAAAGGTTTTCCTGTGTCCATTGTTTCCAGAGTCTGAAAAAATAAATTTCACACACTGTCAGACCAAGTCAATGTTTTTATCTTTAAAAAAGCTTTTTGAGAAACTCCTTCTCATTTTTATTTTGCCTTGTGCTACAGACACAGGGTTTCCTTCCTTCTCCTTACATTTAATACAACTGATGTAGAAGTGAGACTAGAGCAAATAACCCTGATGCATGTACAAGTTGCTTTGTTCAGTTATCCCCATTAAAATGCATCTTCTGGAAGCCCCCAGAAGGTGGCTGTGGGTGGGATACCGGGCTGCGGTCTGGGGCACTGGTCAGAAATGATGTGAGTGTCATAACTTCACCATAACTGACCTTCCGATGCAGATGTTCTGGATTCCAGATGGTGTCACTGAAATCAGTCAGACTCACTTTCCTTTTATTTGGAAATCTATTTTCATAGCCCTAAAACCAACCTCTGAAGAGCCTCTTTTGTGCACAGGATGATAGAAAACACATTTTTTTTTACAGAGTTCTGGTAAAGTAACATTTGGGCTCAGATCTGTGCTGAGACTAAGGCAAGGGAGAAGTTGTTTCAATGAAGCTGCACTCATGCTGAGCAGCTCTAAACGAAGTCCAGTCTCAGCCTGTGTCCTTCTCACTGTTCTGGACATTAGCTCAGTGACTGCTTTGTTCTCTACTCAGGTCATTAAATGCGATATTGGTGCAAATGGCCAGCACATCCGTCAAGGAAGTACTATCCCTTGGTAGATTGAAACATCTTTGTTTACATATGAAGTCATACCCTGTCATCTTCCACTGACACGAGAGTCCAAACAGCACTCAAACAGACATTCCCCTTGGAATGACGAGGATTGTTATCCACACTGAATGTCTGCTAAAAAGACTGATTTTTTGTAAGTTATTACTTAGCATGCAGCCAAGGCAGCTATGGCTGGTTTTCTGCAGTGAAGATAACAATGCCAAACAAGCCCTCCCAGATCAGGAGGACAGCAGAAAGCTTGAAATAAGTGTCTGGGTTTATGGAAAAAGGAGGATCCTCTGAGGTCACACCAAAAAGTGAGCAGAAAAATGAACAAGGTATATTCACGCATACACACACATATATAATTTATTCCATTTTAGTTGCTGGACAGAACTGCCTTCAGACCTGGATTTTTTGGTTTTGCCCTGCTGAAACTGGAGGCTGCATATGGTTAAGGGACACTGTGTCAGGGGAAGAGACCCAGCTCAAAATAGTCATGCAAGTCCAGGCTCCCAAGAACATCCCATCTATGTTAAGTCCTATTGCTCTCAGTGGGACATCAGCTCAGGAACTTACACATCTAACAGCACTAAATGTCACAAATGCCATTGCCCTGAAGATAAGCAGAGCCAAAGGGCAGCATTAAACAGGTGAGTGCTGAGGTTTAAGATCTTGGGTATGGACTGACAGCAGCTCTAAGCTGAGAGATGCTAGATCTGTGGGCATGATTTGGAAAGATGTCCAAGGCCTACAGAGCCTAAAAGTTTTTACCAACTGCAGCACATTTTAGGTCAGGTTGTAGTCCCCTTGTTCTGCACCGGAAGGACTCCTTCAGGACAGGATGGGGAATCATTATCAATAGTTCTTCAGTGCAGAAGTCCAAGTTAACACAGCTTCACGGCTATAAAGAAATTTTCCTGAGCCAGGACATTCAATAGGGATCCCACTTACACAGATTTTAAACTTTGGATGATGTCCAGCAAGAGAAAAGATTCTCTTTCCAGCCCCCCATTTTAGGGGAAGCAATTTGCAAAGAAAGAAAGCTGGCCTTGCATTTTTGTAATAAAGAAGGACCTAGTCAGTTGTGGTGGTTTGCGTTTGTTTTTTCTGTTAGGCTTTTGTTGTTGTTTGTTTTGGGTTTATTTGTTGGTTGTTTTGGGGTTTTGTTTCCTTTTTTGAAGAGCTGGGAGATCGCTGTGAACATTGGTGAATTTTAAACTACAAAAGAATGTTTATTTCTCTGAAAATGTAAGTACTAATATCTGTAACGAATAACTAGCTAAAGTTTTGGAGACATCAACTATACAGAAGAACTAACAGCCTTCTTCTAAGACCCCTGAAATCATCCTGCAGGATGAGGAAGATAAGCCATGACTACTGCATGGACTCTTCTGCTCTTCATGAAGGGAGAGAAAAGAAAAATGTTGGATAGATATGGATGCAGCAAAATCAGAGGGATGGAGCTGAGTTATCAGGTAACTGTTGCTGGTTTATCACTATTCCTTGATCACAGTACTTACTGCCAGGATGACTCTGTCCCTCTCGAGAAGATCAGCTAGCTTGTGTAGCAGTCGTCCTCTGCTTAGGGCATCCATCTGTCTCCACGGAGACCCCCTCTGGAATGCCGCCTTTGCTGCTTCCACCGCATTGTCCACATCAGGCTAGAGCAGCCACATACACAAGAAAACCTTAGATTACAAGGAAGGAGCTGGACAATGGCCCAGGAACCCCATCAGGCTGATTGCTAGATGATGCTGTGGTGGCCAAAATCGAGTTGTCTGACAAAACCACTTCCATTTCACTCCTGGATTTGGACCCAAGCCTGCAGTAAGTTTTGGGTTTGGCCTGGGCTGATAAACAACCTTGGGGTCAGAGTACCAACAGGGTCTTTTAACAGTAATTCTAGGCAACTGGTTTGTTTATACAATAATCCAGAATCATGTTCCTGCCGATACAGGATGTAAGTGACACTGGGGGAGGATGGAGAAACAAGATCCCAATTCTGTTCCCATTACAGCTTCCCTAAGCACGACAAGCCATGGGTCTGCATGAATCATCCTCCTCTGAACAAGTCGGAGAAGGAAAGTCCCCCGTGAGAGAGATCATTGTTTTATCCAGGAGAGTAATCACAGCTCAGATCCCACCGTTCAGTCCCACTGGAACCCAGTAACAGTTAACACACTGAAAAAGCTCCCTTAGATCCTAGATCACACTTCCAGAACATTTCTATCAGATGGGAAGGGTTTTGTTGACAAAGGCATTTCACCTACACAGATCTCATGCCACTCTCCATCTCCCACTTTCTTTACCGTGCTGTAGACCAAATCTAACTCTGTTTACCCAAGCTACTATTCAGGTGGGCAGCAAACTCCCTCTCTTCCCACACCAACACCCCCAGAGAAACTTCATGCATTTGCTCTGGCCACAGCCCTTGACTCCTCCTCTCTTCTTTCCACATACATTGATTAAAAAAGTAAAGCCAAGGGCAACCTCCCGACCCAGTGAAGTCAATGGGAACCCTGCCATCAACTTCCACGAGGCCAAGACTGTACCCCAAGCATACATAAAGCATACTTCACCCTGGCTTTGGACAGAATCCTGCTCTATGTAATGTCTGGCACACACCCATGCCTCACTTCAGCTGATGGAGAACTTGCACCTCACTGCAATATGTGGCTCAAGGGGGTGGGAAAGGAGGGAGGGTTTCAGGCCTTGATCATTCCTCATAGCACTTCACCAGTTGCTCTCATTTATGTCTCATCTCAAGTCTTGCCTTGATACAATTACTAAGTAAGCCTCTACACTGATCCAACAAGGTCTAGCCATTCTCCCCTCATGGGGAAATGTGTGGTGCTCAACCAAGAAAAATGTTATGGGGAGATGTGTTCTCTTCTTACAGCAGAAGTTAACGGAGAAAATAGCAAGTCATCACCCACTGAAATGGCACCTTACACTAAATTTGGCTTTTCTTTACAAGATTACACAGCTTTGAAACAGTCTGACCTATACTGCCAGGAAAAGAACCCCACCCTTCTGGAAAGGCACTGATGGGGAAACCGCTGGATGAAACTTGTGCTGCTACAAGGGGGTAAGAATGGCTCTGGTCAAGCAAAGGTGCTGGTGATGCTGAGGCAGCAAGCAGCCACTGCACACAGGCAGACATGTCCTGCCCAGGCCCCATCACCCACAGGCAGGACAGGCCTTCAGAATGGTTTGCTTCAGTTGGGTTGATCCGGATTCCAACTGGCACATCACAAAAGCCAGAAGGCACCATGAGCCGCTGCACATCTATGTGCTCCCCAGCTGGAATGAAGACTCAGGTTTAAAGGCAGTGATATTTTATGTGACAAAGCAGACAAACAAACACAAGTAGTATGTCAGGTTTAAACAAGTCTTCCCTTAGTAGCAAATTAATTAGATTCTGTGACCAGGGTGGGAGAACCAATGTGCAAAGCATTGGGTCAGCAGCGGCACAGGCCACAACACATCATGCACTTGGTACTGAGAGGCTTCCCACCACCCTGGCACTCACAGGAACAGGAACGCGATGGCTGTGTGGGCAGAGGTCTTCAGTGCATGCCCAGATCTTCCCCATCCTCTTAACATGCTGCCCTGATGCAGCTCCTGCAAATACTACAGTTGTCTTCATTCTTGTCTCTTTTCTCAGACATGCTGGGTACACATAGTGGCTTGGAGACTGCAGTCACTGTCACACAGGCAAAAAGGCTTTCTCAAAACACCCTCAGGGGTAGCACCACCAAGTGAGATCTTGTGAGCCTGCACAGCCTCAATAGACCTGAGAGACCAGCAAAAACAAGGAAATTCTTCAGAAAGGCTGAAATGCCATTCTTAATCCATCCTGTTATGACTAGGCATTAGGGGACTCTGAATGGCATGTTCATTGCAGGTATGTCGCAATAGGTAGGCACAATGCTTGACAAAGCCTCATAACTGTCAAGGTGCCAGGGACACGCAGCAGTACACAAAACCACAAGGAAGAGCAGGTCAGTGCATCCTGGTGCTCAGTTCTGATCTATACAGATTTATTGAGTATCACATAAAAAGTTCCGCTAAGAGAATATGAAGATTGCAAAGTCAAGCATTGCAGCATTGGGAAATGTCTGCAAACCTTCATACCCTCCCTGGATGTTTGCGTTATGATACAACCCCCAGTTACACAACCGCATACCATTTTTCCCCTGAATAAACTCACACCATTCTTTGTTCTAAGCTACCTCCTCCACCTTCCTCCTCTACATCAGGTCCTGGTCATAGCTGCTCCATTTCTATCCTGCCCCTTTTTCCTCTCTCCTGCCTCAGCAGCATGCTGCAGAGCACAGTGGAGATCATCATCCCACTGGCTCTGTGAGTAGGGAGGACACCTGCAATAAAAGCCTTTCTCTACTGCAGGCTCAGTGTGCACAACACTGCTTCAGGTTGGCTGGTACAGAGACATGCCAGGGATGGAGCACACCCAGCGGAGACTGTCTTTCTTGACTTCATTCACTAACTTCTTTGAAAAGTGTTCACTGTGTACTTCTTTGGAAAGGCAGGAGCATGCCACAGGTTCTCAGCTGGAAGAGGTTCAGAACTGACCCGCTCTCCTGCAAAGAGTCCACACATTGCATTGCTCTAACTTTTGAACCAAAGTTTAACACAGCTACAAGCAGCATCTTAACAGCCCAAAGTGTCCCATTATTGAGGGCATCGCAAGTCTGCTGTAAGGAATAATATTCCTGCAGCCTCTTACCTCAGCATGCCATTGCAATCTGGGGTTGATAATCTCCGTTATCAACCTGGCAAACACTTGGACGCTAAGCCATTATTTGGGAGGCAAAAAGCCTCAAAGCATCCAGTGGAAGCATTTGCCATTTTATTTTCAGTGTTTCTTTTTCCACACAAAACTCCCCTTTATCCCCCAACTATCCCATCAAGGGCAATTCTGTCTTAAATTCTGTAACTAAAGAACAAATAACAAAACCTTTGCTCCTAGCCTCATAAAGCATTGTCCAAGTTTCAGCACCAGACTAAATTGTCATCGCTGAGATCTCAGCTGCCAAATTCCCACCCCTCATGTGCAGGCTAAGCAAAACACACTCTGCATGGCCAGGGAGGGGCAGGTTTCTGTGCAGGGCTAGGGAAGTGAAGTCCTGCTCCCAGCCTACTGTGAAGGCAAAGCCAACCCTGGCACAGCACAGATGAAGCCAGAGCCAGTACCAGGAGCTGCCACCCCTGCTGCAGTACTGACCAGCACAATCGGGTATGGTGGCATGTGGGGACAAGATGCTGGAAAGCGCCATCAAACACAAAAACCTACTTCGAGCAAAAAATAGAAGTTAAAAAATCTATGTGATGTAAAAGGGTGGAAGAGGAGGCTTTTGGCACCCAAAGTACAGCTAGATTATGTTCTTGCCTATGCACCAAAGAATCAGTTACCTATGCCGAGTGTCTGTGGGCAGAGGGCTCTGCTGACTGGCCCCAAGGAAAGGTTTACAGTGACTCTCCCACAAGTGAGAAGCTGAAAACTATCCTTGAATTCAGGCAGGGACAAGTCTCAAGGAGATAAGCTGCAAAACTGGCCTTTTAGTTCTGCATAAGCATCCTCTTTAACCAAGTCATTAAGAAGCAGGCTTGGAATACTCATGTAATGCTCTGTAACTGCTTCAGGAGACACTTAGCTCAGGGAACAATAGCAACGTCATGGTTTCTGCCTAGCAAAATAGAGTTGCATCAGAGTTAGCTTCAACTCTTCTGTTTACATGCCACTGCAATTAAACATAGTTGTGTCCCACCAAGTTACTATAGAGGAATTACTCATAATGTTTGGTTCTGCCTCAATCTGTAATTTCCCCATGGATCCCCACATGGCAATACATCTCAGAGGCTGCTTTAGTGCCACCCAAAAAGACAGCTACCTGGCTGGAAACCAGGCATTCGGCCTCACAAGCGTTGGACAAACTTAGATAAACTTAGAAGTGCCCACACTGCCTGTCACTGTCCACAGCAATAAGCAGCCAAAGCCCTGGTACAGCACAGAAGCTGTGAATCACCTTCTTATGACATACTACAAAAGCCAGGTCTGGGGCCAGTTCTTTCCCACAGATCAGGCCAGCTGGCCCATATGTGATGAACTGGTTTTGGACAAAAAGTGTCACATCTGATTGTTCCTCACCTCAGACTGTTAGAAACCCAAGCAGTTATGGCCCTGACTGATCTACAGCACACCAGGGCCAGGGACTAAAGTTCTTGAGAGATACTGGTTTGGTTTTAACTGAGAGCTGCCACATTTGTGCAGTAGGACAGAACCCATTACACCAGTTGGAAAAGCAGCACCACCGGGGATCTCTCCCAGAAAGTGGGCAGTGTTTGCAAGACCAAGCTCAGTTTCCCCCAAGCACTCAGGTTATCTGTTGATTGTGTTTAAAAAAGGGGTGAGTTTCAGTTCAGCGTCTCCATGCAGCTTGTGTATAAGCCACTCCCAACATCAGACCCAAGTTCTGCCAGGGACATGCACACACCGTCATTGCCATTTCCTCAGACTGGCTGCTTCCTTCCAGCCTAGAATACGAGAACGATGCTGAATCTCATTCCTCGGAGAGTGTTAGGCTGCCAGTTCCTACCAGGGAAAGCAGCTCTGCCAAGTTGGCAGGACTGATCCCACCCACCCTGTGTAATTCTTGAGCAGCACATCTCGTGTCCCAGACCTCCAGCTCACAGTCTGTCTAATGTACATTGTCATTAAAAGTCAGCTTCTCCTCTGTGTGCTTCCCTACAAAAGGAAGTCCCTTGGAAACTGTCTTTTGCACTGCCCTTCCAACAATACTTACCTTGTCTCCTTCTTCAATGTCACAAATTTTCTCCAGCGTTGAAGGGTTGTAGGTGGGGAACTTCTTTCCACTTGTAGACTCATGCCATTCGTTGTTAATAAATATCTGAAGAGAGAGCAAGGGAAGTGGGATGGGGAGGAGAAAAAAAACCCAAAAACTGATGCAGACAATGCAAAAAACCACAAGTACTCCTCAAAGGTCCTGAGGCTCTTCCATTTCCATTGATGGCAAAGTCAAGTGTGTTCAGTCTCTCTCCCAGGGAGACTGTTTGCGATACAGACAGCATTTATCCAAACTGGAACCTGAGCCAGAGAACAGACCAAACAGCCTTCGTGCACCCAGTTAGTTTTGAGCAAGAGAAAGACAGAGGATGGGGCCCGCACAGTATAACACCATAATCTGGCAAGGAGAAACAGGCAGTTTTTGAAATACATCTCCATGGGAACAGCAAGCAGACACCAAGAGAAATGTGTATGGTTCAGGCAAAAGGAGCCCCTTGTTACATGCTACAAACGTAACGTCAGCGTACAATATTACTTGGTTGTTTGTACCCTGCCCTGGGTGACTTGCACAACTTGCCAACCCCCCCCCCTCCAAGTACTGTCCAGAAGAGGGTACGTAATGGCTCAGTTCTACCCCACCATGCCTTGTCACAGGCTAGATCAAGCCTCCCACATCACTTGGAGTTGTCTGTGACAAGATTTAAGTGTTTCAAAATATTGCATTTCCAGAGCAAGAACAAACAGTCCCAGTGTTGCGTAACTGAAAATGCATTAAATACTCGAGTGTTGTTACTCACTGTAAACAGAACATGAATACCTATATACAATTAATTGATTCAACATGCATCTTATCCACACTGTGATCTAACTTGGCAGTGTTATATTTTATAAATATACTTTAAGGAAGATTAGATGAAGTAATCTTTATTAGTAGCCTGTTAGCGGCTGTAAGCTAGTACTTTTACTTGGAAGTCATCCACATTTGCAATCTTGTTTATGAGTCTCTACACACCACCAGGAGATTAATGTTGCATCCCTTACATTCGGAATTCCCACTGCTTTGGGTCATAGTTTTCTTTCCTTGAGCAGCTTTTTTCCTGAAAGGAGTTCCTCCTTACTACTTCTGCAAACAGCATCTGAGATGCAACTGGCACAGAAGCTGCACTTTTAGACCCACTTGTTTCACGCAGGCCAAGAAAAAGAAAATTTTGCCAAAAAAGTTGCCAAGTGCAGTCACAAGAAAAGATACAACGTTAGAAATATTAACTATCTTCACATTAATAGTCCCAGGCTACCTCTACTATCCAAGTGCTGCATTTTAACATTTACACATATTCACTTCAGTTTTCCTTTGTTTCACTAACAAAGAAAGTCACATTATAAATGTGGGAGAATGACAGGAATTACAGAATTACAGCATCGGGTATATGCTCAGATGCCATTTTTTCCTTCATATTCAACATTAATTCTCTGTGAAAGGGTTGGGATGGGAAAGCAATTTTCCTATAAGTAGTAAAACACAAGAGTGACAGGATCAGGCTGTTCTAAATGTAACATACATGCTGCGATCACCCTGGGAATCACACCACATCACCCGAGTCTTTAGTGCCAGGAGTTGAAATCAAACAGAACAGCGTATCAGCTATTCATGCTTCATAACCCAGGATTTGGGACACAGGATTGCGGACGGATCAGTTCCATCACACATCCATGACAAGAATTAAGCTGCTCTATAAGAAAGATCTTTGTTGAAAATTTTTCCTCTCCCCCAGCCCTGTAATGGGCAGAACCGAAAATAAAAATCTGCGCTAAGCAGAGGAAAGTGTGCTATCAGCTGTAAACATCTGGTGAAACTCAAAGCTTGTAGAAAAACCCTCACAGTTTTATGAAAATACTGCTCATTATTTTCTCAGATACACCAGGAGCATCAGATCGAATGTCAAATCCACACTTTAATTAACATTGGTTTCCACTTTTAAGAGACTACCTCAATACCTTTAGTGCACAGAGTCTCCGGCAAAACTCTGGAGAATAAAAAACACGTGTTTTAAAACATATATGGCTGCATGATCAGATCCCAAAGGAGTATTTAAAAGAGTTCACAACAGTAAAAAATACCAAAAACCAGAACATTTGGATATTTAAGAAGAACTCTAATGGCTGTGTCCATTTTGGATGCGGGAAAGAGCCGTTTGTGCAGCATTACGCCATTCCGCAATCAGCAGCTGCGGATCCAATTTGCTGCTAAATAACAAGTTTATCTTACAAAGGAAAAGTAGATAAATTTGTGATGTTAAAAATTAATCTAGTCCGGTGATTACCACTAATTCCTAATCTGTTTCAGTACTTTGGATGCATAAATCAAATCAACACCTCACTGGATAAGCTCTCACTGTTTACTCCTTCTTCCCACTGCAAGAGAATGAGCTTCAAGGTCTGCTTTTTTTTTTTAATACTTAATAGAGAAGTGTAACAGTAATTAATATGCTCATCCAGGCTCTCCAGCTCTTTTAGTCCAACCACATAGTTCAAATGATGGCAGTCAAGGCTGCCTGGCAGTGTAACCAGCCGGGATATTTTCCCCACTGTGCAAGACCGTGGGTCAGGCTGCTGTGGAACAAAAAGCAAGTTGGCTATCGCAGAGCTACGGCTGTGTTAGAGAGCAGGGCTTTCTGCAGCAGTGCTCAGCTCCGCACCAAAGCCAGCCTCACCTCTGACAGACAGAGTTATCAAGCTCTGGAGCCTTCCATTAAATCCAAGAGGCTGGGAGCAACTGTTTAAAGGGAAGCTGGATAGAGAGGTGTGGGTTTGTGTGGGCTCGCTGCCTGACTCCTCGTCCCGCCGGGATGCTGTGAAAGAGCTCTGTTGGGACGGCAAGCCACCAACAAGACGTGGAGGAACACTGCTCCTCTTTGGGAGCACCGGGGTGGTCCCAGCCCCATCAGAGCCCTTCCACAAGGCCAAATCCTGCAGGACGCTGGCCCTCGTCCATGCTCCCTGCATCCACCAGCACCAAAAACCACCCCTGGGCACCGAACCCATCCACCCCACCACAGGGCTGCTCCACACAGGCTCAGGGATGGCCGAACAAAACCCCAACAAGCAGTTTCCTCACAGATAGACCGCTTCTCACCTCTGCCTGGGCTCACCCCATCCAAATCCAATTTCCCTGCATGCTAACACGATGCCGAAAGCTTTTACCAGGCGGGTTTGTGAGCGCCGAGCGCTTGGGAAAATGGCGGC